CGCATATGTCCTGATGACCTTTGCAGGTCAAAACTTTAATTCGTACTAAATTCTGTAATATTTTGAAAAATGGAAATATAAGAATGCGTGAGGAAATAATAAACTTGAAATAAAAGGATACATGAAGAAATAAATTGAAATTCAGACCTGTTAAAGAAACATTGGTATATTTTACTGACAGTATTGTCAAAGTTAAATTTAAGGAATGTTTCTGTCCATTGTATTCAAATGTTTCTGTAGCTGAAAGTATTCTCTTTTATAATTGAATTTGACTACTTTCCTGAGCAATTCTATTTTTATTCTGGATAAAAGAATTTCAGAGAGCTCATCAAATGCACCTCCTCCATTCGGTTGTTCAACCTATTAATTCAGTCTAGACATTGCTGCCTCTCTATTACAGTTTTTTTAGATTATGATTGTTGCAAGTGAATTTTTAAAGAAATATTTTATATAAAAAGAAATGTAGCCAAACAAAATTCAAACTATATTAGTGCGATATATACTACTCTTTTATGTTTTTCCTGTGCTCAAGGCATCAGTCTATCCTTACCAGCCTGTATTTGGAAATTGTGAGAATATTGGTGCCATTCCTAATTGTGTAGAGGACTTGCCTTTAAAATGCACAGGTACTTCTTTTTAAGGGGCCAGTTTGCTTTGTCTGGAGAACAGGAGGACAAGACACAGTCTAGACTGAAGAGGAAGTAATGTTATAGAGTTTATTTGGAGGAAACGCTATATAATTGAACTTACTGGTTTGATCAGTGTTTATTGCAAGATGTTTTTTTCTCCCCTGTGTGTGTGTGTGTGCATATATGTATGTGCACTTGGTTAAAATTATCCTGTATGCTCTAGGCTCTCTTACACAAGTGGTAATTTAAGAATAAGGTGTTTCCTTATTTGTGGAGTCATTGAGAAATGGCTGTGCCAGTCATGACTGAAGTAAAAATTATTCTTTAAGTCAACATGCCTTAGTGTTAATTTTTTTCAGCCATAGCATCATCTTAAAACAAAACAAACAAAGCAAAAAACCCTTCATAAGATGGTGGATTTATTTTTATAAGGAGAAAAGGAAAAATATTTGGGGGAAAGTAATTTTATAGTTTTACGCTTAATTTTTGTGGATAGAACCTTTTAAATATTCTTACCTGAGGGGGCATTTACTGCAGCAAATTCATGTCAGCTTGCAGTGTCGTATAATACAGAAGACGTAGCTGGTTGTCGAACTACCCAGCAGTTAGCTTCATAAGCACCTTGCCTGTTAGTTTTACTTTCTCAGCTATTATTTTTATTTTAAAAGCATACAGTTATTGGGGCTGAAGTGTTGTCAGCAGAGGTTGGAACTTTAATTTTTGTTTTGTTTTTAAGCTGAAGAAAATCCAGAGGGTATAATCTGCATGAGCCATGTTAAACAAGAACCCAGAGAAAAAGCATCGTCTGTGGAGACGGATAAAATCAGAGACTGCCGGAGTTCCTCTCCTATTTGAATCTGTGAAAGCTGTAAGGATTTTTCAAGTCGGAGGACTCGAAATGTCTTGGAAAGAAAGGGGGATGCTCTCAGAGTTGTGCCATTGTTTTTAAAAGGCGCTGTGACATTCAGACTAGGCATATTTTACACAAGTTCTGATGGATAGCTGCTTTGATTTACAGCTGATACGATTCACTGCCGATTCCTGGTCATTCACTTCCCATGTAGAATGCCACCTCTCTCTTCTCTTTCAAGTGTTGAGGGGTTTGGATGGTATCCAGATAGCCCATTTTGGTTGGCATTTCAGAAGGTTTTCCACAGTTAAATCCTTTAGTTTTAGAATGTGGATCAAAATGTTGGTTTTGTTTATCCCCTTGAGACCCTCAACCGTTACAGTATTCCAAAGACCGTCGAGTCTGCCAGCTCTAAGACCACAGAATCCGACAACAAAGTGCTTCAACACAGCAATAGTTTTGTGACCGAATGAAGGTCCAGGATGCTACATTTCAAAGTGATGGGGGAAGAAGAAAGTGCAACTTTGACCTGATCATAATGTTAATGGTGTGAAGATCAAGGAAAGGAGAAAGGTGAGGTTGGTAGGTGAAAGTAAGGTTGAATGATGAAGAAACATGTGTGAATTCTAGCAGTGTATATTTTCAACTTTGACATCTTTAAATTTATGCTCTGGCTTTATAATAAGATTATTTGCTACTTGCAGCCTTTGTGCAGGTACTGTAGCAGCAGTTGGTCATAACATCTAAAAGCAGGAGTCCTGTCTTCTGGAACATGATTGATGCTGCAGTTTCAGCTTGCCTCCTTTCTGCGTTAGTCTCTTACACTATAAACTCAGATAGATACGATTTAACCTGCTGCTGTTCCTGATGTGCGGCTTATTGATGGACTAGTAACAGAGAGAGGCCCAGGAAGACAAAGCAAGTAATATAAATCCAAGCAATATGTGTAAATATGCTATCATTATAACATTCAGAAAACAAACTTGTCTTTTTTAACAGAAGTAACTACTGACTAAAGTGATCTATATTAGTTAAAATAGTTAATAGGAATCTTTTAAAAACTGAATATGATCAAGGAATTTCTTTCTACAACATTTAAGCCAAAGCCATACTAAGTGACAAGAACTGGGTTGCATAATCTGTGACAGACACATTTCTTTAATAAACCTACAAGTAACTTGGAATCCGTTTAAACAGTAAAATAAATGAAACCGACCCCAACATAGATATCAAGTTAAAGAATGCCGTGGTTTGCTTCAGATGCTGAATTTTTAGAGCAGTGTGTAATCTGTGTACAGCAATACTAACAGTTTCATTATTAGTTCCTACTAAGTTTTTGAGAACTTGATCATAAAATTAGGTTTTTTTCCTGTATGCTGCAAAGAATGCAATCTGAGAAGTTTCTCTTTTTCACACTAAAAAAGAGGAAAAAGATTGTTTGAATTATGTAGAGGAGAAAGGAATATTACTTGAACATAAGGATTAATGTTTTTAAATTGATAGTTTTTTTAACATTTATTCAAGGCATTCACAAATACAATCTAGATACTGGATATTTAATTTTTAATTTCCTTACTTTTGTGTGTTTAAAGCTAAAGCTTTCTAAAGTCCTCCATTGAACCTGGGTTCCAAAAACTTCTATACGCAGCATCTGTTAGGTAGGTGCTATATTTTAGTCTTACCTTAAAATATATTAACTTCTGTGAGGTTAACTAATGATGTTGTTCATTTAAAGCTAATATTTGTGGGTTAGCTTAAATAAGAACTTTCCAATAGGATCATGCTCTTATTAAATAAGAGTGTTCTATCAAGCAAGTGCATAGAGAATCTTCAGTTCTTTGGAGTCTCATGCTTTGTTTCTACACTGACTTCTTTTGTGGTTTGCCATACTCATTTCTGGGTAGGTAAATCCCATGAGGATTACTTTTTAAAATTTTTTTGTTAAATGGTGAAAATTTATCCTGAATGGATGTTCTCTCCTGCTGAGTCATAGTTGTGGAGTACACAGGCAGCAGTTACCTTTTCTTTTCAAAGTCAGTAACAATATGCTAAAGAGTGGGTAGCTCCTTCTACTCTGCTGTATTCAGTGATTCCATTACCTGTTTTTCTTAGGATTTAAACTAATGCGTGACAAGGTGTATCACCTTTTTCAATGTTACTCGTTTCTGAGATTTGCTCCTCGTTTTTGAGAATACTTGTTCTAGAAAGAACAAATTACAGCTAAAGTTTACCAGTGATAGCTTATTTCAGTTTTAGTTTCCTTCAAAGAAGGTGATGGATTTGTGGCTGGAGAAAAAAGTTAAGGAAAGATAAGTTACATTTCCACCAGTTCTTACTTAGTTCCCTCGTTGATAGGTCTGTTCTTGAACAGTCACTGTTCTTCCCAGCATGAGCTACAGTCTAATCCTGTGCTGAACGATATTTCTGAAGGTATTTCTATTTTTGGTTAGTGCTTGCAGCTGGAGGAAATGCTCTTTTAGTCCATTTTGAATAGTAAGCTATGAAGTGACTTTTATAATCTAGCCTGATTTGCGTGGTAACCTGAAAACAATAGAACGAAAAGTTGGAAGCAATTTAAAGAGGCAGTAATTAATTAAGAGCTAACAGTTGATTTTAAAAACTGGAGATAAGAGCTGTAGTTCTGTTCATAGAAATACTTTATTTGAAATGTTTCTTCAGTCAATACTCACGTTTTTGTTTCTAGATACCTTCATTTTCTCAGAATTCCAGTTCTTTAGCTTCCAAACGCCTACTCCAGTTTATTACTATGTTGTCTTTTAATTTAACATAACCTTTCCTCTTCAAAGAGTACATTTACATTAGTTTTGTATGTTTTGCTGATGAGGGTCATGAACTCATCGCTCGTGCCCAGTCTCTATACTCACATTAACATTTTAGTTTACTAATATCCACTTAAAGTTTATACAAAAAATCTCTCATATGTGTATATAAAAAAACTCACAAAGAAACAATACCAACTTCAATGCACTTAAATGTGTTTGATTAGAATACTCAAGGTTGATTTTTGTGATAAAGTGTATCATTTGGTACAAAGAAGTCGGTTATGACTTTGTTTGTGACATGTTTTTCTCATGTTTACATTGTTTCCTTGTGATTGTTATGTTCAAGTGTTTATTTTGCCAACCTAGAAATCCTGCATTTCCACAGTGCTGTAAATGAGGAAATTATTTTCCAGTCTATTCTCATTGTTCTTTACTCATAGCAGTGGTTGATTGGCATCACAAGAAGGGCTCTGCTTATATATGTGCCTGCAAAAATAGTTTTTTGCTAAAAGGTAGAGAAGACTTTAGAAGACATATATCCATAGCTCTTATTCAAGGCTGGCAGCTTCTTGGTTGGAAAGCAGTAATGTCAGTGAGTCCTTTTTGTGCTATTCAAGAACTCAAACTTGGTCATGTGGTATGAAGATTATTGCAGCTTGTACAAAATCTAGAGAGACAAATGTATGTATATGTGTATATATATATATTTATATAGTAATTTAATGTGTAATATTCCAATCCAAATGTAAACTACTACTTCTAAAGATATGGTCTATGTTGTTGTTATGGGGGGGGGCTCATGGGGAGAAATGCAAGAGCTACTTGAGGGCAGTGGTTGCTGGGGAGGAAGGAGTGAGCAAGTAGGACAACTCCAAGGAGGCCAGGGGGAAGAATTCAGGTCCTGAGGGCATGTGAAAGATAAGGGCCCTGTGAGGAGGGCCACAGGGGCTGTGCTAGGGCTCTGGAATGGGGTTTTGAGCCCATCACAAAGGCCTGGTGCAGCTCCAGAATCCGTGGCAGTAGTGGGCTGGGTGAGTTCATGGTGGGAATTTGCAGATATGGAAGAAGAGGAAGGCCTGGCCTGGCCTGCAGACCAAGAGAGATGCCTGAGTTTTGGTGAGTACAAGAGAGAACTAAATGTCTTCCCATAGTCTGAGATGCCCGTTCTTACCTTTTTAATACCAAGAAGAAACTCCTCTTGGAGCTCCAGCACAGTAGTATGGCCTCTCTTCCTTTACATTTTACTGAGGAAAGTATGCCTTTTTTCCCAACTGAATTAATTTGCTGCTCCCCTTGTCCCTCTGATCGCAGCTCTGCCTACCTCAAGCGTGCTCAGTCTCCATCCAAGTCTCTCTCCCTTCACGCTCACTAAAGCTCGCACCCAAATCCCCTGCGCTCAGTCTCTCTGATTCTCAGTGTTTCACTGTGACAATGTTGGAAACAGTTGATGAGTTCCCTCCACAAGTAAATACTGGTGAGGTTTACCTTTATGTCAGTGTTTCTTTCTGTTTCATCTCCCCAGGATCCTAAGTCTCTCTGTTCCTTCAATTTAATTAAGGTTTTTTTCCTTGCTTTGTGGTTTATCAACCACGCCTCCAGCCATGGGAGCTGGATGAATACCAGGCACCCAGCTTTCACAGGGCCATTGCTTCATGCACAGTACCTGAAGAGATTTGAGAAAACAAGGGGGAAAACGATAGTTTCTGCCTACTGTTAGTGCTTTATATGGAGAAACTGGCCTCTCCCCTTCTGTAGCACTTGAGTTGCTGATTTTGCTTGTGGATAATAGCTTACTGTTGATTGAAACTTATGGTTTGTTCCCTTAAGCCTATTCAAGCAGATACATGCTCAGAAGACTAGGTAAGAAGAATCTGTTCCAATAAGAATAGAAATTGTGCTGTAACTGAGGATGGGGCTGTGAAAAGGTACTGCTCTTCATGGATCTCTGTTGAGCAAGTTCTCCTTGATCTGCCCTTCCGTTCTGAACAAGGCTTTCTTTGGAATAAACTTCAGAGTCTATCCCATTAGTAGCAATTATCTTCTCCCAGCAACAGCGCACCTTGTTAATGAATAAAAGCAGCATAGTGTAAAACAGGCTCTGTTGGTTTTTCTGTGTAGGTCAGGTGTCCAGCTCGTCCACCCAACAGCCAGCAACTAAGGTATGATGTGGGGGAAGGAGGAGGGGAAGACAAAAGTCTCAGCACAAGACAGGAGTGTGT